GTTAAAAGGAGAATTGAGAACCACAGACGAAAATAGTTCTAGTATAAGAGCCCTTAAACTCTCTACACAAACCACATAAAAAAATCATAGAAATTAGAAAGATTGGAAGAAATCTCCAAAATTATTTTTAAGCAAGCCCACCAAATAATTTTAAGGATAAACGCAATAAAAGCAAGTTAGCACTTCCAGCCAGAAAGAAAAACATAGATCCCAACAAGATTTTTTAATTTATTTTTATTTAAAATGAAGAACATAGAGCCTAAAATGATATTGAGACAAAATCTTTCAAGTCTCATACAAAGACAGTCTCAAGACAACGATTTGTGCAGTTGATGAGAGTTTATCAAATAAAATGATTGCATGGTCAATCTACATCGGATACAGCTATGGGCACAAATATAAGAGAAGTAATTACAAGTTAAAATGAACATTGTTAATACCAATTAAATTAACATCACTTTCACATAAAAAGGGTTCAGAAATCTTAACAAACCTCAATGGCGAGAAGATAGTAACGAATTGCAAGATCTATATTTCCTTTTTCCTGTATTGTGCAGAAAGGCAGTAGCATCAGCACCCAATACGGAGAAAGAACAGTTACAATGCCAAGCACAATCACAAGGATTACCTTCCACGCATTAGCCATGTTTCCATAACACTCAGCAAAACGTGGCTCTATACGGACAGCTTCTTCATTTTTTGAAATACACATATCAAAATCGTTCAACTGTAAGGAAAAAGCCCAGCATACACTTTTGTTAGACTTGGAAGCGAGCATAAGGAAAACTAGGAAAACAGGTAAATTCAAGAGAAAAATAGAAAATAAAAATTGGTATAAGACGTAGTCAATAACCAAATCAGTAGCCGCGCAAAATACCTGATAGTATATGGCACCCATCAGAAGAAGATTATCTGTGCGAAGTGAATTCCTCTCATAAACTTTAGTACAATGCTCCAGTGCCCGCTTATAGTCACCATTCTTGTACTTCTGATGCGCAAGAGCCAGATAGGTTTCTTCATCAACTACAACACAAACGTGTTATAAGAACAAGTATTTAAAAGAACGAAAGATAAAAACACTTTTTTCCATTTAATTTGAGATGTGTCAAGTAGACAAGCATAAAAAAGACCCGGTGCGGGGAAGTGAAACCACATGACTTTTCGCTCTTCTCCTCGAGGTCTTCTTTTTCCTTTTCTTTGATGTTTGTTAAGATGTAATGTGTGCAAACTCTAGTTCGAAATATATTTTAAATAACAGCAAAAAGGCACACACAGAAAATTCCTTCCAAAACACTTTTATTTAGGGAAACAAATGATGTGAACAGAATACAAAACATATGTAGATAAATTTGTCGCCCAATTTAGCAATGAAAATGATAACATACGATCTTGACATCCCCAATACATCAACAAGTTAAAGCACACAAAGAAATCCGCTCCATTAAAAACCGATTTAGAATCATCATCAACTAACCACTGCATTAACCACCTCCAAGAGCTAGGTGCTTCAACTAAATAACAAAAATTTCTTCACAAATCCCCAAATCCCAATTCACAAACCTTCATGAGAATCAGGATTCTCGAACGTAACCAGGCTGAGCGAGGGGGACTCCGTCTTCACCGCAAACGATTCGCTGCCGCGATCAGAGCCAAAAACTGCTCGAGAAACCTCGCCCTGTTGTACAGACATCATCACGGCGATCCCTTCAAAGGATCAAATCAATTGGCCACTGCCAACACCCAGATCAAAGGTCGAGCAACAAAACCCCAGAAAAGAACACAGTAACAGCAAATCAAATCGACGAACAAAAAAAAAAATGAAAAAGCTCGGAAAAACCAAACCAAACCCTACGTCAGTTTGGAATTTTCGAGTACTTCTTCGATTAGAACGAGGCAAAGAAGAAGAATTGCTCCCAAAAAAAGAAAAAGAAATGTTTTTTTCTGGAAGGTGAAATCAGAGAGTCATGCCGCGTAAATAGGGGGAAGAAAGAAAAAGGTCAAAATAGAGGAGAGATCTCAACCGTCAAAGTGGACGGCTGAGATTGAGCCATTGTAGGTGGTAAGAAATTAGATTCGGCTGCTCCTGCTATTGACACGTGTATTGCAAAAGTGGAAGGTGTGTGAAGAAATTTTGGCATGAAATCCCATATTCTCTTCTCTTCTAAAGTTCTTTGGAATTTTCTCCTTTAGAATCTTCTTTTTCGAGTTATACTATGTGCACATTCTTTCTCAAAATTCGAGCTCGATCCAGATAACAACAGCTATATATCATTCACAAATTTCAAATCCCGAGCATCATAGACGAGAACTGCAAACTGGGTTAGTTGGAGTAAGAATCTGCCCTTATGGAAACAACTTTACCAGTGATATGACTCGTCCACTGTTTACAAGAGTACAAATCAAAACCCAACGAGAACGACATGTTCCTAGTGTTAGATGAACACGACTCTGCACAATGGTATGATATTGTCCACTTTGAGCATAAACTTTCGTGGCTTTACTTTAGGTTTTCCTAAAATGCCTTGTATCAATGGAGATAGTATTATTTGATTATAAACCCATGATCATTCCCTAAATTAGCCGATATGGGACTTTCATCTAACACCCAATTCTAGTTCTGAGAAGATGATAGTTTTACAGTAACATATATTAATTACGAAGTTTATGAACTTCTCAGATTTCAGATAAGGATCCGTCATTAACAAATGTGTTTTCTTGTGTCAACTTGTTATTGCCTTCTAGAATGAAGAAAGTAAAATGAAAAAGGTCGGTTGCATCTCGAGCTAATGATAGGTCATTATAACTTAATTAATATTGCAAAGAACCATTATACGTTAAGATCGAATATCGCTTTAAAAAGAAACTGTGATTGCAAATATAAGCAAATCTCGATTAGCCTACTAACTTTTTTTCCCTAATATTCTCTTATGACATGAAGATTCCTTTTCATGCATATTTTAAATGTCTCAAGAAGAAAATATATTTCTAATTAAGAATCATTTTTCGTATATAAATTTTAATAAAAACCCTTTAATTTGTAACAACATAAATTTTGTACTTTTAATTTTAATTTTGTAATAATTGAGATCTAGATTTAATAATTATTTGATATAAAAAAAAAAAAGATTCAGGACATTAAAATTTGTAGTTCAATCGGAACCTATTATAAATTAATATCTGAAAATGAAATAATAATTTTGTTGAAATCCTAAATTAGTATAGTAGCTCAAGAAAAACCGAACATATTAAGATAATTGGGCATAAAATCCTAAATTAGTATAGTATGCTAGCAGGGGACTTGGGGCATTACAAATGATATTAGAGCCAGACACCGAACGATGTGCTAGCGAGGAGGCTAAGCCCCGAAGGGAGTGGACACGAGGTAGTGTGCCGGCAAAGACGCTGGACCCTAAAAGGGGATGGATTGTGAGATCCCACATCGATCAGTGGGAAGAACGAAACATTTTTTATAAGGGTGTGGAAACCTTTTCACACTAGATGCATTTTAAAAACTTTGAGGGAAAATTCGAAAGAAAAAACTAAAAAAAGACAACATCTACTAGACGTGGACTTGAGTCTCTCTTGTCGAAGCTCAAATCCATCTGCAGCAGCAGCCAATGGAGGAGGAGCAGCTGGTGGGCGTCACCACAGGGCACAGCAGCAGCCAATGGAGGAGGAGCAGCTGGTGGGCGTCACCACAGGGCACAGCAGCAGCCAATGGAGGAGGAGCAGCTGGTGGGCGTCACTTAGCCCAAACTCTGCCAATGGGATTTGACTTTGTTCTTACATTGAGAACCCCAACAGAATGGAGCAATTATTCTCAATGATCTGAGCATAGAAAGTTTAGACAACAACATCCTCAAACTAAATGACTATTTCAAACCTGAAAAGCATTCAAAATCTTGTCTTTACTCGTTGAATGACAACAATTGTAGATCCAACATCCTCCAGCTTTTGGTTTTGTAAGCAAGACAGAATTTTTGACAATTGTATTAAAAGTTTGCAAGGATTTGTATTACTATTGTTTTGAATTTTTTTTTTTTTTTTAACTTAATATGAAACGTTACAACACAATATATCGAAAGTTATCGTCAAGATCTAATAGAATGTCTAATCTTTCCCTGAGCCGTTTAAGCATTTTTTTTTATATGTTAGAATGACTATATTGAAAAATACGAATAAATATCGATCAAATAGCTCATAAAAAAACCTATCAAATCCATGGGAGCACTAAATGAAGAGTGGTGGGAATTATTTGGGTTGAGTTAAAAAATAATAATAATAAAACAGTATAATATTGTAATAATTAATTAAGTGATAGTTTCAAAATTTAGATAAACTTTCAAGCATAGAAAACAAAACAGCTATTTTTTAAAATTCTTATTTATTAAAAAAGTTATTTAGAAGTACAAGAAACAAAGAACACAAACAGTGCTCAATAGGAGAAATTTAGGGTTGGCCAACGAATCGACATCGACCAAACCAAGAGCTCCTATTTTTTCTTAAATGAAAGCAGATCTAACAGTTTTGATAAAATCAACCTCTTGTAAAGGAGTCGCTCTGCCTTGATCACCGTGGACATAGCAAACAACTTGTTCTTCCTTGTGCTTTGCTCATTTATATATGACAAAACTTCTTAGTTTGCACATAATAACAGTTTCTCCACTTTAAATTTGGATATGCTTTATGATCCTCCTGATATAAAATCCACCCTTCCAAATGGATGAAATACACAATCATTATGCAGTTACAGTCACTTCGATGAACACTACGAGACTGCTGAAATCAAAATTTTCGAACGAAGTACAGATGATTATACGCATCAACTTTCCTCTTCATAATATAAACCCAAACCCAAATGTGAAAGAGATTCGAAGTAATCAACAAAAAATGACTCTTTACTGTTTAACGAGAATGAAAAACTAATCATATCTGATACGTTTGGGTTAACTTGTGCATGCCTCAACTAATATTATAAGCAAATTATCTTGAGACACTAATAATGTAACTCAAGATGGATATATCATTTTTCGTTTACAAGAGGGCCATTTCAAAAAAATTGTTTTCACAAAGGCAAGTTAAGAAATATCATGTATGACAAACAATCAACTTACAAATCCCTATAACATATAAAAAAAAGTAAGGCTAAAGAAGAAAAGGTTTAAAACATCATAATCAGCTATGGCTCACAATCATTCTCATTGATATACAGCTACTACTATCACAAATATGAAACAATTAGCATCAATATCGAAGTAGGTAGTTCTGGAGACAGACAAAAAATGAGTTGAAGTTTCTCTTACAGTGGAAGAAGCGCAGGTGCATAGAGTGGGATTAGTTGACAGCACCTTTCTGGGGCAGTGTTTCAAAAGCAGAGACAGTGTTCTCAAATTTAACACGATGAAGAGGAGCTCCACTCTGCTTGATGGCACATGCCGTCTTGTCTTCAAGAGGACAACGTGCCTTCAGCATTGAGAATACATGGTTGTTCAATCTTCTGGCCTTCTTCATGGCTTCTATTAAGGATTCCCAGCCCTGTATATAGAAGAAGGGGTTTGTGAAGTCGGAAAATGCAACTAACTGATGAGAAAACATTGCACAGATTATGAAAATTACAATCGTCACAGTGCAACAGCAGCTGAAACACAACTTTTTGAATGTGTACGTATTTTCTCGTATAATTTTGGACCAAATTTGTACGTGTTTGTATAACTTTGGGAGATTCGATTCTATGTTTAAATTTTGATAAGTGTAAGCAGGGGACCTTCTTCTCTAGTTGTAAGTGAGTTTGCATAAAACACTATGAACAAGGTATCCAGTAACAAAGTCCCGTTTGAAGTCTATATGTAACAGCCCAAGCGCACCACTAGCAGATATTGTCCTCTTTGGACTTTCCCTCAACGTTTTTAAAACGTGTCTGCTAGGGAGAGGTTTCCACACCCTTATAAAGAATGCTTTGTTCTCCTCCCCAATCGATGTGGGATCTCACAATCCACCCCCCTTCGGGGCCCAACGTCCTTGTTGGCGCACCGCTTTGTGTCCACCCCCTTCGGAGCTCAACCTCCTCGTTGACACATTGTCTGGTGTTTGGTTTTGATACCATTTGTAACAGTCCAAGCCCACCACTAGCAGATATGGCTCTCTTTGGGCTTTTCCTTTCGGGGTTCCCCTCAAGGTTTTTAAAACGCGTCTGCTAGGGAGAGGTTTCCACATCCTTATAAAGAATGATTTGTTCTCCTCCCCAATCGACGTGGGTACCGAAATTAACATGGATCAGAATACCCGAAATTAACATGGATCAGAATAATGATCTTGACAGCTTGTTTAATATTAGCCATATCTGGCTGAGTTCTCATTACTATTGCTCAAGAATAAGAAGTGTGTGACATTTTTGTTCCTTTTTGATGAGAAATAGATGAGTTGTATGTGCCGGGGAAGCTTAATTTGAAGCCAATAACTTAATAGAATAAAATTTGACGATCTAGAATACTAATTTTCAGACAGTAGATGCATCTTCTTGAAAAGAAATTTCTGGATGAGAATATTAAAATGTCAAACCTGCATATAATGGGAATTTTTATGAGTTTGCACAAATGTTCCATCCTCTGCCTCAGCAATATTCAGAACCTGGTACGAAAAATCAAACAGCTCAAATTGTAGCTGTTGCCCGAGCAGGTAGACTATTGTGCAACCACCCCAAGCTACAGAATCACCAAGCAGTTCATGATTGTTTGAAGGTGATTGAGCAGACTCTTCCAGGTAGCCCTTGAAGACGTAGAAATATAATATCAGCAAGAAAGACTTAATTTACTGTAAATTCACAAAGAAGATGAGTGTAAAAAGAAAACGGAGGTTTTAAGTAAGCTTAGCTTCATTTATTTCTACAAAAAAAGAAAGGGGAAATATGATAATTTCAACTGATTAGCAGCTCTGACCATTGAAAATTTCTACATTAAAATCTCTCAATAGGCGTGTATTTAGTTCGAAATTTGTTTTCGTTACAATATGAAATCTGATGAAACACACAATTCAGTTTACAAAGTTGAGGAAACCATGGATGAATTAAAGCCACAAATCACTAGTCAGGTAATTAACAACTGTCTTCAATTTTAATATCATTCAGATATGGAAGACAATGGAATTAAATTCCTACTGCAACTGTAGGGCATGAGTCAATGGAGAATTGCCATTCATAGTTATATAATCTACATGAAATAAATTTCAATCTATCTACAGAAAATGAACTAAACCATACACATTTATCACTTGCGTAGCATAGATTCCATTACTAGTGACATTATTAAAGAGGCATATTACATAAAATAACGACAGAGGAATTAAAGCAATAATAGGATTTAAAACATGATCGGATCCGATTAGAGTCTAAACTTCTGTTTTGCTGCTGCACCAATAATCGTTTAGCATAAATCGACCATGGATAAAAAATAACTAACAATTGAGAACACATAGACATAGGTGAAAATGATTGAAAGAAGATATCCAATGATCAGGAGTTAAAACAAAGAAATTATCTATACGGAAAAAAATAGCAAAGAAACAAACAATAGATAAAAAGGGCCGTCAGACTCACTATTTGGAGTCCACTATATATCCTATAGAAATCTTTTGAAGTAGTGATATCAACGAATCCAGTCTTGGGAGCAGCACTCCATTTGCTACAGTATTTATCCAAAGCAGCACTTGTAAAAGCAAGTGCATATTCTAGAACGCTTCCAGTATTCAAGTTAGATCTATACAGAAGATCTGCAAAAACAGGAAGATTCAAGATCTTTACAAGTCAGATAACTAAAGCTGGAAGGAGGGGAAAGAAAGAACAGTGGATGAGAAAGGTTGGCTATCAAATATAACTGCTAAAATTGTTCATATTCCTCCACTTGCACAACCCACAATAGCCAAAGCCTCGATTGGACTTGCGAAACCAATCAGTTCGAAAGTGGTGGTTGCTGTGATACTCAATTGGACATGTGGTAATGCACAGAGAGGTCAACAACTATGAAAGTTCCGAATGAAACTTGATCACGATAGATGATTGATAGTTATAAAGGTTTCACCGATTGAGTTAGAGTTTGGTTTTAAGTTTTGATACCATGTTGCAACTATCTTTTGTTGTTCTCATTTCTCTAGAGAGATACATATTCCTTTTATAATAGAGAAAAGTTAGAATAAAAATTCCTAGAATACTAGGTAAAACTAAATCTAGCTAGATCACTAGATATTAGGTAACAATATATAAATAAATCCCTAGGGAGGTCAACTATTTACTTTATTAAAAGGAATTACAAAACACACAAATATTCTTTAAATCAAGTTCATTCTTTCAACACCCTCATATTTATTTTTTCGAGTAAACATGAGGAGGCCAAAAAAGGAGAAGGAAAAGGAAATAGAGGAAGAGAAAAAGAAAGAAGAAGAAAGGAAAGAGAGGAATGAAGAAGAAGAAGGAAAAAAAAAAAAAGATAGAGACAACAACCGTGAATGGAAAGAGGGAGAAACAATTTTTTTTTTTTTTAATTTTAAAAAATAAAAAAATGATTTTTTTTAGTTTAAGAAATTTTAAAATAAAAAACACTTTGTCGTGTCATCTTCTGTTAGCTACAGAAACAAAAAACTGGAGGCAGGGACCAAATTCTCCCAATAATTAAAATTTTTTTAAGGGCCAAAAGCATACAAAAAACAGAAAAAAAAAAAAAAAAAAAAAAAAAAAAAAAAAAAAAAAACCCTAGCCCCAAGACTAACTATAGAAAAAAGGTCCAACCCACAAGGACAATGCCTACGGGATTATTTAAAATACTTAGTAACAGACACCCAAAGGGACATATTAAGTCCAATAAGGGAACACATCTAACAACAAGAAAGCACAACGCCAGGGGATGTTATCACGAAAGGGAGGATGGACAACCACCTCCTCCCTCCCATAATCGCTTCAAGTTATTTAACAACAGCCCAATGTCACATGCACACAGGACAGAAATCTAGACTTGTATGATAAAAAGACTTAAAACTGCAAAATATTATCGGTTAGCAGAACTGGAATGATTCAGCCTTTGCGAAATAGTAGAACCTGTCAAATGAACAGCAAAATAAATTGTTAAGGGTGTGAAATAGTAGAAAACCTGCTGCTTCAGCCTGTTTTGACATGGTATAATATGACATTCCATTAGGGTTTCCAGGATTTGAAACAGCTGCACTGGTTGCCGACTTGAATAGGCTAACAATAGGGCTCTCTCCATCTTGAGAATGAAATATTTGCCCATCAACACCAGGAATTATCCCTAACCAAGGTGCTGTCTGCATGAAATGCGTGATGTCTAATTCTCTCTGTGTTTTGGGGCAAGAAGAGAAACTTTTAGTTCATTCATATTTCATAGTCATTAAGAGATTAATAACAAGATTCAAATGTTAGACAATTAAATAGAAAATTATAATCATGGGCAACAATTTAAGCCTATTCGGTCTCTTAATATTATTAGTCAATGGGCATATCCAAAAGTTGGCTTGCTTTCGTCATGAAAGTGCTAAATATCACAAACAGGCACATAACGGAACTCTAACCTACTGAAGTACAAGTTTTTAATAAAGGGAAAACATTAATAAACTCGTATGTCTAATACATTTGTATCATGTTGCCCAGTATTACATTTCATAAAATGTTATTTACAATTTAGATTTTAGATTAAATTTTTTTAGAAAATAATAAAATACAATTTTTTTCTTCATGACACATTTATATAATTTAACAAAAGCCTAAATAATGAAAAAAATAGAAGGAACATACAAAAAGGAGAGATTGGGAAAGGTCAAAAAGGGAGAAGGAAATGTCTGGGCATGCACAAGGTATGAGGGAGAATATAATGGGTTACCTCCAAGTAGAGAAAAATAAAACAGAATTAGTTGCCCTATGAATAGAGAGAAATACACATGATAAGGAGAGAGTCAATAGGCCCCACTACATCACATGCAAGGCTGATAATACCTTGAGTTTCTTAGAAAAAAAAAAAAGGCTTCAACCTTCCATTTTTAATCACAGTTGGAACTTCATTGGTGTACTAGTTATCCTCATGTTTTGCAAATGATCCATGCCCCAAATTAGTCTAAGACTTTTGGTTAGCAACATATTGGCCTACCAGCAACATGTCAATGTCAGTGACAAGTCAAATTTTAGAAAGATGTCCTTCTCCTAGTAAGTCAATATCAGTGGTCTGAATTTTAGAATCATTGTCTACAATGTCATGTTTAATTAACTCAAACACCCTCCTAGGACCTATTAATCAATTCAAGGTATAAAACAGTCCATAGCCTTCGAATTTACCATAGTTTCAAGATAGGACTCTGAATTTGAAACAGTAATTCATGAAGGCTGAAAATAAATCTTACTTCAGAAATAGAAATTGCAGAAGTACAGATACTTTTGAATAATATCAAGAAGAAAACAGTGAAAAATAGTTGCTGCAATATGGATAATTCAAATACTGACCAGCACAATATCAAGAAGGCTAATTAAATATAACACACTTCCAATCTCCTTTATTCCATGCAGGACCTCCAACCTGAGCTCTGACTTCGCTTCCCAGTTTAGATTTTCATTGATCGATCTCATGCAACCTGAACTCAGTAAAATAACTATGTAAATATGGCTTCAAGTTTGTTAACGGTTTTTTAGGTTACGAAACTAGTTTGTTTTGCTGATTTGTTTAAGTTGTTACTTGGGTACTTGAAATTATCTTTAATAAAAATTCTTCCCTATTTACTTCTAGTTTGCTTTATTTTTCTGTACGTATTCCTGGTACTTCGACAATCACAATATAATACATTGCTTCTTCTTCACTTATGTGCAATGAAGTAAATTGTGAATGTCTAATAAAACATAATGTAATAAAAAATATTCTAAAAATTAGGGGGAGAAGGAATAAAAAATTCAAAGGCAGACCATAAACTTCGACATTTATAACCTTAATGGAAAAGATATACCTGCTACACCTCCATCAAATGGTAGTAATCCTATAGATCTTGGCAACGCTTCTTGCAATCCTGATATCATTGGTTCAAGTACAGCAATCTGAAAAATGGTAAAACGAAATATTAGGCTTGTCCAAGATGGGGATCTTTTGTAATTTTTTTTGTTATGTTGGATTGGGAGTCTTTCTCCATACTATTGTAGAAGTTTAAATATTTAAACACCGGTAACTTTTCAACTCTCAACGAAAATGTAGTTACTCGCAATGACAGGGATGCTCTCTACTAAAATGAGATGTAAGATGACTTCTTGCCGTGCTTTAGAACTTTATCTTATGCGTCTTCATTTAACTATGACCATTCATTAGTTACTCAATGACAAGGATTCAAAAACCAAATGAAAAGGACAACTGTAAACTGTGGCTAGTTATTTTAGAACAATCATTTAGAGACATTTTTCAAGACACAATATGTAAACTGTGTTCGCATGTGTATGTGTATGCATATATCTCTATCTATCTATCCATATGTATATATGTAGTAACGCTTTCTCACAGTGCAAGAACTTTAAAAGGTGTATTTCATGGAAGGATATATCCAACTCATACTGTACCTTATTTGATATATGATCCAGAAGTGCTCGAATAAGCCATGGTAAGGATCTAGATCCAAGAAGTCTCGCAATGGAAAACATGTGAGTCAACCCAAAGAATCCACTATGCAACCGTGCAAAACTTTGATGAGCAGAATTCAAGTCCTATCATGATGGGAACAAAACTAACAGCATTAAACTATAAATCCTCTCACGAGTACTAAAATGTAAAACGATATAAAACAGCCAAATCCAACTAATAAATACTATATTGATGATTGAATTAGATAATATAGGTTATACTTCAAATAAACTACCAAAAGGGTCTTATAAGTGATGTGCAATGTATCGACTATAATAATTAACGTACTTGAGTACCAAAGTAGAAGTTAGGCTTGGCATGAGGAACTGATGGTTTTTGAACCGGAACAGATGGAACTTTGGATAATCTTACAAATCGCTGAGTAGTATTGCATAGGATAAAGTTCGGTAAGAAGTCATTTTGCATCTCTGACCAAATCTGACAAGAAAAATTATGTGAAAATTAAAAAAGATGAAAAACACGTGAAAACTTCAATATCATGTCAAATTCATGTTGCATAACTGAAATTATTGCTCAGGCAAAAGGCTAGCGTTCACTATTTTTTATTTATTTATTTTTTATCATCATTGAAGCTATAAGTAAACGTCCTTCTGCTACAAGTTTAAAATTTTAGTACAAGCATGTTATCCATGAAAATAAGAAATAGAAATGGGCAAAGGACCAAGGAGTAAAGGGTATAAGAACCAAAGGCATATGCAATATAATTAAGGAAAGAAGTAAAGGGTACAGAAGCTTCAGATACAAGTAGTCAACAATGAACAAAACTTACCCTCTTTGAAAATCCAGTAACGCCAACTAACAAAAGGCTTTATAAGAATACACTTCGTTGAAATTATTGCCAAAAGGGTAAAAAAGAAAAAGGACGATACATTCAAGAGAGCAGTGGAAGTTAAATCAAAGGTCAACGGGAGAAGGAACTGTTACAGTAGACACAGAAAGCAGGAACAAACTCAAACTGAAATTATCAAGGATAAACAAAATTGAAGGTCCTAAATAGGATGCCTAATTAAATTTCAGTAAGATTTATCATTGATAGTAAACTATCAGTGATAAAGATCACTGTAGATAGAAAATCATCAAACGAATGTACTTGATCATTGATCCCTGCTTTCCTACTCCACATTAAGTAGTTATTCCCTTCAAGAAAGGTAAGAAATGTTTTTAACCTGAGAAGCCAATCGGCTAGAGAATGATACAAGAGATAGATTTTCTTGCATCTCATTTAGCATGAGACTAAATGAGTCTATCAAAAGATCTTTGGATAGCAATTCGTGGGTCACTTTCAGGACATCCATCAGCTTTTCCAATTCCTGAAACATATTGATTTACGTTCATTTTGTTAACAAATAGAGAGCATAGAAAGAACAGGCATAATTGAATCACAACTGAGAAAAGAAACTACTTACCAAAATGGCACAAAGATCTTGAGACTCAAACCGATCAAATAAGAATTCAAGGTTCTCTCGAAAAATTTTGTTCATTCGTTGGGCAACCAAGCTTCTTAAATCAATAGTCCTTCCAAGTAACTGTTTAACATAAAAATTTGAACATAGGAAACAACAGATAAATATAAATTTCTGTAATAGGTTTAATGAGCTCAATAAATGGACACTCTTACACACATACATGATAAACCAATTTTTATTTTTGAAATAAATATGAAAGATCATATCTGATCATGGCTCTGTACAAGGAGTCATTAAAATGGATAGCTTTGTTAACCAATGATGATGCATATATGTAATACTTTGATATCATACCAAGAGAAAGCAAAGACAATTTCCCACATGATAGTCTCCATCATAGGGCAGTAAGAAGTGAAGGGAAAAAATGCATCCTAAATTCAGATAGATTAGTAAGCTATAAACAGAAAACATTTTACCTTTACTCTAGTGATCTTTAGAAGGGCGTTAAACCTTATAGGCTGGACAGAATATTTTTCTCCATTGTCTATGGCAAATAAGAAAGATGAATCGAGCATCTCTCTGCAATAATTGGTGATAGCACCAAGTTATTATTCATTCATAGAGTAGCATGTGTCTAATCCAAAGAGCAGAACATACCTCGCGGCCCAACTCTTGTAATGTGTAAAGATTGAATCGCATAGCTTAGAGACAAATATATCGAAACAATGATCGACCTATAATAGAAAACAGAAGGTGGCATCAGGTAGTAAAAGTAATGAAATGACAGATAGCTCAAAAGCAAAAAGAATAGACAACGCACAGTACAAGCGACTATGCAAATACGGTGTCTCAGATGCTCAAATTGTCTTTATACCAATGCAAAGAAAAATACTATTTTACTTTATAATGTCATTACAGATTCTAAATGCGTTCTTTGAGAATAATTGTTCAAAAATAAATTATCAATCAGTCAATATTCTGCTTACACAATATACACCTACTAAGTAGCACAGGCTGTGGACAGAAAGATGACTTCAGATATGTGGCATGGCATAGGACCCTATCAGGAAAATATGGACTAGATGAGTTAGGGTAGTTTCCAAGTCTAAAAAGCCCTTGGACAAAAATTGCGAAGAAAGTGCACTAATATCCACACTTGCTCTTCATTTCAGCTGGGAAGAATTCTCTGATTTTTGAGAAGATATATGGTATTCTAACATCTCCTTTTTGAATTCTAATCAGTAATTAGTTTGCATACACATACACCATACATATTTCCAACAAAATATGCGAATGCATCGTTCAGCCAAAGTACGTTCTACAACATAAACCAGAAAAAGGTTTGAATACGAAGCAATGCAAGACATCAGTGCCTATCTGTTGATAAGGCCCATCCACGAAGCCCATCATTTTGGATCCATGTCCTCAATTCTAGTGGACTTATCTCTCTTCCCTATGTAAGTCTTTCTATTTACTTTTCTTTCCATATTTATCAGATTTCCTTTCTCGAATTTCTTTTTACCGTTGCCCTAGTTTTCATACTCAAACAATTTCTCTTCATTTTAAACCCAGGTCTGTAATATAGGAATGGACCTGATATATGAAAAATAATTCCTCTGGGATAAATCACTACTGTCAAAACTCAAATATTGAATTATAAGAGAGAGAAAACCTCAGCTTCAATTTCGTCATAGAGAAAACGTTGTTTCAAAGTAACCAAGGCATGTTGAGCTGAATCATTGTAAATGTCAAGTGGAAATAAAGCACTCTCAATAAGGCCTGCATTCTGAGACTCGAGGACATAATCCACCAGCATCCAGGGAAGGGAGCATTCAATAGGAAACTGCAAGCAGAAAAGAAAAGAAAAATGAATGTTGCACACTTCTAAGAACACTTGAAGCAGCAAAAAATTAAAACGATTCAATGGGTTAATATAGAATTGGAGGGGGAAAATGATAAAAAGAAGAACAATAAATTATTATACCCTCCAGTGCAAGGAATTCACAGTTTTAAGAGGATTATCGAACATAATGAAGATAGAAAATAAAAAAAATAAAAAACTAATAGGTATCTGAAAAGCATGAACATATCACAGAAAAAAATGAGACAAAAATTACAAAAGTAGGACAGTGGCACTTGAGGATACTTTATATATATACATATATATATATATATATATATATATATACACACACAATTGAATACTTCAAAATAGATATAGCAATGGGCTAGGGTTAAATTTTAGGGCTTGGATTTTTGTGTTGGTCACAATGAGATAACTGTCGAGGCAGTAGATATAGCAATGGGCTAGGCTAAATTTCAACGTCTTTACAAATCGATGTGGTTTTGTGTCCCCCACATGACCAGACATGTCACATCTGTGTCTTGATGTGTAAAAGAAAATAAAATAAAGATTTAAAAAAAAAGGGATCTTTGTTATGACAAATGTGAAAGTCAGTCTGGACATATTCATGTTCGACATGGACACAGAGAGATTATCCTCGCTTCCAAGAGTAGTATGTATCATAAGAAGATTTAAAATATCATGAAAATTGGAGGAGTCAGAACACATTTCTTTAATACAAATGGCATAAATATATACATACAACCAACTGAGATCTTTTCACTGATTCATCGTAAAACATTCTCATGAAGTTTAGTATTATTATATTTGAATAAAAAACTGGGCTTTCATTCAGGGAAATAAAAAAAATGTACACGGGCATACCAAAAAAATAAAAATAAAAATTCTCAGAAAAAAGGAGTCCCAAAAGCTACAAGAAAGGACTCCAATCTAAAAGAACAAAACATAGTTTCTCATGAAGCTAGTTTTGACATCAGTACAGTAGAGTATTGTTATTAAATCATTACTTTGGTATGGTAAAATGTATACAAAAAGTCCCATCATGTAGTAATTACAAGAAACAATTCCAATGAGTAAGGAGAGGAGATAAGCTGTAGTTACAAAAAGGTTTGTTTAACTTGCTCCATGACAGAGCTAGGTAAGTTATGGATTCAATAGACTTAGGAGTGTCTCGTTTCTTGTCTGTGAAGATGCAGCCCAGTTTAACCAAAGAATCTTTTTCCATCTTTGAATGGGTGCCCGATCACAACACAAGATAGAAGGGAAAAGATGTCAACTGGGTGAGCCATGGTCCATACAAAGGCAGATTGTATGAAGATCCAGAATCCATAAGCAAATGAACATCAGCTGAAAGCGGAAGTTTGGGGTTCAAGGAGCCTCATGCATAAGGGACAGAAAAAAAAATGGAAAAATGCGCATCCAAAGGGATCTTTCTGAAGGACACCTTGTTTGTTGAGGCTCAAATAGCTAAGCTGACAAATGAATATTTTTTAATTTTTTTATCCCCTTTGCCCACTGTCATACTCGTGTATATGTAGATGAGATTCTTCAGCTTATCAATATATTTCCACGGCAGTTAGAGGAATGTAGGAAATTTCAAATCATGGTGCATAGAACCATACTTAGCAATAACCACCTTTCTGCATAGGGCTTTTTTTCCTTTAATTTTGAACAGGAAAAAAAAATTCATTGTTTATATGAAACTACAAAAGAGGGAAAACCCCCATCCAAAGAAGTTAAATAAAACCTCTCCAGTTGGAAAGGAGAGAATTATAGCTAAAGCGATGAAAGAGTAGAGAACATTTACACCAAGAACCAAAGAATTATTGCAACAAAAATTACGAAACAAAAGCTTCTTATCTAAAAAGATCTGGCAATTCCTTTCCTGCCAAACAGTCCGACAGACAGCTCTAATGAAGTTCATCCAAAGAAGCTTTTTTTTCCCCACAGGACTGCTTCTTTTCAATATTACAATGTCAATCCCATTTGGTTATTAAGCTTGGTTATTCTCTTAGATGTCATATATCCCTAAGCCCCCATTTTCTATGGGGAGCTTGACAGTTTCCCATTTAACAATTGGTAACCCTTCCTTTCACCTTTCTTTGCTACCTTTCAAAGGAGGTTCTGAAACATTGCTCAATAGTTATGCCACCTTTGTAGGAGTGTGGAAGATAGATAAATAATAAAAAGAAAGGTTGGCCAAAGGAGCTTGTATAGGTTTGTGCCATGAGAAAAGCCTATTTTCCACCTTTTCGACAACAGGAGCCCAAAAAGAAACCAGTTTCAGCTTTTCATTGAAAGGAATGCTCAAGTATGTGTGCGGCCAACACCCCACTTCACAACCATAAACTGCAGTCAATTTGGTAACTTGTTCTGGCTCAGTATTGAAGCCCAAAAATTCAGATTTGTGACAATTAATGTTGAGGCCAGATGCCACTTAAATATCTTTGATGGTACTGAAGAGGTTTTTAAGATGAACTTCGTTGTGGGAAAAAATTGAGGATCGTAATCAGTAGTATGACATTTTCTTTATAATATAAATAATTAAAGAAAAAGAAAGCGGAATAAAAGTAATAGTCATCGCCTAGCTAAATTTAATCATAGAAGTTAAAAGAAGCAAGAAGCAAGAGAATTGAATATTTCCATCTGATTTGAAATTCTCCCTTAACTCATACTCACCACATATCATCATGTAAACAAGCTGAATGTGCTAATTTCTGCCAATAATATAGCTAATTGCGTATCCATGAACCTCATACCTGAATAACCCGTGAAGTCTCTAAATAAAACTCTCTAAACCATAAGAATCCAAGATCAGTTAATGTTGCAACAGTCGCTGCAAAAAAAATAAAAATAAAATAAAATAATTGTCCACGTGGATCATAGGAAATAGCTCATCAATAATTAAATTACAAAAAAAACCATTTGAAGTGAGTAATAGGAACTTGAACGTGATAACACTACCATGGCTTTTGGTTAGAGCAATATAAAAATTAGTTAGCAAAGCATTGGATCTATATGCTTATGAAATATGTGCCAATAGAGAAAGAGTACCGGTATAATCAAATATGTGCAGAAAGAAGCTGAGCTTGTAGAAAAAGGTCTCCAACTGCTTCAAATCATTAATGGGAATCTCAGACGCACTATTCCCAAAAAGCCCTCCTGGCTTCCTAAGGTTTCCACCAGACACCACCTCATAAATCAGAAATTGCAAGCAATGAACCTGGAACAAACAAGAGATTACAAAGTGATCAAACTTATGTTCAAGCTTGTTATTAGTATTGTACTTATGAAATTTAAGTTCATTAAAAGCAGGAAAATTTCTCTAACTTATAGTATAAAATATCCTTCTATCAATGATTGTCAATCTGAGGGCAAACTAAGCCTAACTCAATTGATTAAGACATTATAACTTCGACCAAGAGGTCAAAATTTCAAATCTCCACTCTCACATGTTGTTAAACTCAAAAGAAAAAAGAAGGGGTCCAATGCAAGGTTGCAGCTATTAGCTATATAATTAAGTATAATGAAACACATTTAAAAGAACAAACAATGACGACGTGAGAAAATCTTGTTATGGAAGAACAAAGTATTGTTTTCATGACTGATAGCAACTCATAAAAGTGATAAACATAGAAGAACAAATTGTTAGTTTCTTTAACTATTATCAGTATTATTACGTTAGAAATAGCAGACCTTGGAAATTGAAAGTACAGGGACGTACGCCAATCAAAAAGGTTACGCAAAGGATATCCAATTGGTCAACAAAGAATAGCTACAAAAGTATTTAGATTTCGTAGTTCATTAACAGTTGCAGGTAATGAAAAGTGGCTTTTTTTAATTTAAAAAAAAAGAAGACCAGAGAGCCACAAAATAAATGTTCCGCAAAAAACAAGGCCTCCTTCCTCATTAGTAACTTCCACAAAAAAAAAAAAAAAAAAAAAAAAAAAAAAAAAAAAAAAAAAACTTAGAATCAGCATATCAATATTAGAACAGACCTTGGCGGTCACACGTAAGACAAATAAGAAATAAGTGAGAAGGTTGGAAAGCAACAATTGGGCCAAAGTGAGTCTTTCGCTTTTGGAGCGTTGTCTGCTTCTTCTACTCAACCTGGAAGTGATTTTTCGGCATGACAGGTTCCCAAAAAGAGAAGGTATGCAGCTTACCTCATAGCAAGAGGCCCAAGTAAGAGATGGGAAAAAACTTAACCATGTAGCCCCAAATAGAGGCAAAATCCTAAAACATGAGAAGGTAAGCTATTTTATGACCTAACAACGCAAGCTATCTGAGTTTTTCTTCATTGGTTATATGGGGTAGTATGCTCAAACCATTTTTTTTTTCTTTTCATTTCAAAATGCACAATAAGAAAAAAGGTAAACCAAAGAAACCTGCGTAGCTGTAGGCGCAACTGGCCGTGGAAAAAAGAAGTTCACTTTACTTTCTTCACCTCTTTGCATAGACTGTGCTTCAGATTCAGATTTGCTTCTATTTGCCATCCAATCAGCTGACAGGGTTCGCATATCAGAAAGAATCCTGAAAGGTAGTCAATCGCAGAAGTTATGAAGAACTGAAAACGTCAACTAAAATTTACCAAAAAAAAGCTGTAAACGGGTTACTAAGTTTCAAAGGGTTACTGCTTTCACAGGGGAGAAAGGCTAACCAAACCCTAGATACTAGCAACAGCAAATCTAAATAAATCTCTAAATACTAGGTAACAATAAATCTAATAAAACCAAGATACTAGATAAAAATAAGGGACTATGTCCTATCATTCTCAGCTTGGATACTAACTCATGAAGCAGTAAGTTGTGAAGTCATTTTGTTAGCATATTTGTCCGTTAAAGTCGTGGAGCACATAACTCATGCATTACTATTTCCTGGGAGCATTTCCACAGGCGTTTCTTACTCTCACATGCTCACTCCTCTTGGGGCACTTCCACGAGCATTACTTGTTCTCTCATGTAGACAACTATTGGAGCACTTCTATGGGCATTGCTGCCTCTCTCATGCTCACTCCTCTTGGAGTACTTTCACCGGCGTTACTTGCCTCTCTCATGCTCAATCCTCTTAGAACACTTCCATGGGTGTCGTTTTTCTCTCTCATACTCATTCCTTCCAGAACACTTCTATCGATTGATGTTCTAAAGAACTCCATCAATTGCAATGGTGACTCTTTGAAGCAATTTTTCGAGCTGCTCATCATTCCTCACAACTGGAAGAACATGTCTAGGGTTTAATTTTTCTTATTGTCACGCACTACATTACTGGCCAATTCCAAAACCTTAGTGACAAGGTATTTGAGGATGACAACTAGGTAGATCATAGCATCTATGGCAATGCACTTTACGTAGTGGCCTTTCTTAAGGTACCGTCCGATTCTTCCATCACGAAATTGGAGGCCAACCTTGACAAATTTGTAGATCTTAATTTTGTCACTTCCTTTTCTTCCTCCAATCCTCTTAGTTCCCTCCATTATTGAATATTTCAAATCTGAATCTTGGAATTTGATGTTTTGTGATAAAGATTAGAAGAACGACTTGAGATTTTTCTAACATGATGGTGAAATAATCACGAAGGAAGGAAACAAATCATATTTCGTATTTGAAGTAAGGTACATTAGATTTTGGGCCTTCATTAAAAATTCTGGATTATCAAAAATTGATGGAACATGTGGGACTACAATAATGATCCTTTAAAAAGAGAAAACGTTGAGGTTTCAAACCCATTAGGCACATGCCTCTTTATGCCAATGGGCCAATTCGTTGCTATTGTTGAATGGACTTTGTCTGATGTTGCAAATGTTATGATGTTGCAACGGAAATTGCAAGGGGAGCTGACGCAAGAATTCAAGGCATCAAGTGGGAACGCAAATGGAAATAGCAAGTGAGCCCAACGCAAGAGTCCACTGCAATGGGCTTTTGATGCTGAAAACTTATATTCTGACGCAAATGGAAGTTCAAGGATTCAAGAGTTAGAAGGGAAATCACAAGTGGGAACACAAACGAGCCACTAATTTCGTCCCTTAATGTCGTTGCTGTTCTGAAGGGTTGCACTTCGATTTACAACCAATTGAGTGCTAAAATTGCGGCTCAAGCTTCCGGGGCAAATGGACTCTGTTGGATGATGGAAGTCCCACATCAGCTAATTTAGGGAATGATCATGGGTTTATAAGTGAGGAATACTAACTCCATTGGTATGAGGCCTTTTGGGGAAGCCCAAAGCAAAGTCATGATCTTATGCTCAAAGTGGACAATATCATACCATTGTGAAGAGTCGTGTTCGTCTAACATGGTATCAGAGCCATGCCCTAAACTTAGTCGTGCCAATAGATTGGTAAATCCTCAAATCCTCAAATATCAAACAAAGAACTCTTAAAGAAAAGGAGTCAAGCCACTCCTCGAAGGCAGTAAAAAATGACTAAGACTCCAAAGGAGTCGAGCCTCGATTAAGGAGAGGTGCACTTTGTTCGAGGGGAGGTGTTGGATGATGGAAGTCCCACATCGGCTAATTTAGGGAATGATCATGGATTTATAAGTGAGGAATACTAACTCCATTGGTATGAGGCCTTTTGGGGAAGCCCAAAGCAAAGCCATGAGAGCTTATGCTCAAAGTGGACAATATCATACCATTGTGGAGAGTCGTGTTCGTCTAACAGACTCAACACATGAAACTGCAACATCTACGACTTCAAGCTTCTGCTTCAGTTATGAATATCATAACTAGACGTTGACGATCACAATATCATTCTTGTGAGTGATTGTTGGGATGAGGTTGTTCTTCCTCGATTACAAGATTTGAAAGGTCCTTGGTCACGGTAAAAGATCGACAGCTATGAAAACTCCGAATGACACTTAATCAAGGTGAGTGATCCGGAGCTATGAAGGCTTCACCAATTAATTAGACTTTTTAGACTAGAAAGGATTTGATATTATGTTGTAACTCTAAGTTATCTTGCTATTTTTCATATTTATTTGGAGAGAGGTACATGTACCTAAATTCCCAAGTACTAGTAACAATAAATCTAAATAGATCTCTAGGTACTAGGTAATAATAAATCTAAATAAATCCTTATATACCTAGGTAATAATAAATCTAAATAAATCCTTATATACTAGGTAACAATAAATCTAAATAAATCTCTAGATACTAGGTAACAATATAGATAAAATAGGGAGGTCAATTATTTCTCTTATTTAATGAGATTACACAAATATCTCCTAACTTAGGGCTAATCCTTCACTCTCATATCATGATTCATAATTCTACCAAATTGATAAAGAGAATATTTATGACCAACTTTCCTTCCACATAAACCCAACTAAAGGGAAGATCTTTTTATTCCTACCCGCAAATATTTTTTCTTGTGAAGATTCTGTTTTAATTTATAAGCATAATAGACAATTTTCAGTAACTCCTGATCAACCAAAAAATACGTAACGGAACGAAAGTTTGTTTAAAACCAAGGAAATTAGAAATACTCTGCACCTTGAAATTTCTTTCTTCTTCCGGAATGTTGTTCGCAACATGGTTGCCAATGTGTTTTGAACAAAATCTTGAACCTCAGCATGTATTGTTTCCCACAAAGCATCAGCTACCAGAGTATCACACTGCTGCATCATTGACCCAATGCTCTTTATATAGCTAACCAGCTCAACAAGAGCTTTCCTTTCCTCCGCACTATAATTATGTCTCACCACCTAGAAAAACATCAAAATACAACAAAGTCATCAAGCCAAAAGACAATCAGAGAACATAAACCAGGCTTTGTCATTTTTTCTTGAAAAGGAAACAAGGGAAACAAAAATAGGAAACAGAAATAAAAATATGATACTAAATAGTAAGAGAAAGATAAAAGCAGTCCAATTAAGATAATGGTCCTTGATAGAGTAATCAGCGAAGTGTTTTGAAACAGTGCACTAGGAAGAAGCCTTAAGACAAGCAGAACCAAAACGATCATTCCATGGAAGTAGTGTGTTTTGAAAGGTCCTCTGGTTCCTTTCAAACCAAATTTCTGATAAAATGGTTTTCACTGCATTAGACAACAAAATCTTTGATTTCAACTCCAAAGAAAAACCAACAAACCGGAGAATTTTTCCTTGAAGGATTTGGAGAATACCCACTGGACATTAAATATCGAAAAGAATTTCCACCAACAATGCTTAGAATAAAGACAATCAAGGAAAATGTTATCTCTGAAATTATTTCTAAAACACTGTAATTACTTCTGAGATTATTTCTAAAACACTGTTATCCCCTACTTCCGATAAAAAACTAAACGATGCTATTATTTCTCCTTAAAATGTCTGAAATAACAACTTCAAAAACTACCAAGCCACATTGATGGATGACCAACATTTTCAAAGAAGTTGATTGGTCTCCAAATTTTCAAAAAGAACTTACTAGACCAGCTTTGAGATTTAACTAACTCTCAATTTGCAAACTAACAAGTCACACTGTAGGAATTTTCATTGCTAGTGTTGAGATTTTCGATCCTTCTGAAATGATGAACAGGTGAGTCTTAGTCAGGAGTAATCTGAAAGAAAATTTATTCAAACCACGTAAGCGAAAATCCTTTCTTGCTCAAAAGCGGTGGGCTTGCAGAATAGTGATGAACTAGTAGATTGCTGGAGGATTGTGGAACAGTGATGAACCAGGGAATGGATGAAAGCAAGATAGTGATTGGGCTTAGTGGTGGATTGATGAAGTTTTGATTCAGCTAGTGATAGAGATTCAGCTAGAATCACATCTAGAATGACGGCTAGTATTGATGGGTTTGTGAAGTTGGTTTCCATGGAACAATTGAGGTGGGAAATTCGGCTAGAATTATGGCCACTGTCTTTACAGCTAGAATTGTGTTGAAGGAATGAATTACCGCTACTGTATTTACGGCTAATGTTGAAAAAATGAATGGACAAAGGCTAATGTATTCCTCTTACGGACGCACTTTGGATGAATGTTGTTCTGTGTGATCACGGATTGTTGTACAAGGTTAATGCAATATTGGATCAATGTTGTTTTAATGGTGGACGGTAGTAACTATGAAGGGTCCAAATAAAACTTGATCACGTGAGATAATCAGCAACTATGAAAGTTTCACTGATTGAGTTAGGATATGGTTATAATTATATTTCCCATAGTAGAAAAAACTTTGATACCGAAGTGTAAAATAATAATATAGAAAAGCTAACTAAATTTCTAAACACTAGGTAACAATAAATCTAACTAAATCCCTAGATACCAGGTACCACGTACCAGATAAATTAGGAGGTCAACTACTACTATTATTTAGTAGGATTATACAAATATCTCAAGCTAGGAATAACACAAACATTCCTTAAGTCAAAGTCATTCCTTTAACAATAACTTCAAACAAAGGTTCAAAACACAATAAGATTAGGATTGCTAGAGCATACATATCGGAATGATTTTAGCAAAATTGGAGGCCAAGAATGCCAATCTTGCATACACTACTGATATTATGAGGAAATATTTAGACCAATCAGGCTCTAATTCAAAATACAAGTGAAACAGAATAATAAAAAGGTAGAAAAGGGAAAATAAGGATTTAGGAAATATGAACAATCTAGGCCAAAATAAAATAAAATAATCTAAGAACTAAGGTCTACAGACATGCCAAATAATAAAGAGTGACATCTGGATAACTGTTACTGCTAAAATGAAAATTTAGAACCTTTTCATAGTCTGAGAATGACGAGGTTTCATGAGATTCCAAAGAAATAACGTCTTTGCATGGGCGAGAGAATTTCCATGCACATTGTTCCCAAATACGTGCAGTCCATCTGCTCAAGAGTTGAAAACCTTCAACAACCATGTCATACATGTTTCCTTTAACATCTTTGCACCACTCAATATCTGGATTCTCTGTTGATTTCAACAGCAGCAGCTGCATGTTCAAGGTCAAGAAAAGTTTCAGTACAACCAAAAGCATTATTTGTAGATGAGGAACCTTTAGCACTTTCTCATCATTTGTGACATACTGTAAAGAGAATGTCACTTAATTATGCTCACTACTCCCGGATTGAGAATGAGAACCTATCTCAAGTGATCAATGGATCCTTTTGTTTCCTTTTTGGGGCTTCAAACAAACTACGTTTTAAATTATCATTTTGAGTGATTTTCAGGAATTCTATGCCTTCAAATTCTCATATTTTATGGATTCATATGATTAAAGCTCATCTTTCAAAACTCTGGATGGACAGGAACTCGATAATTTTTTTAAACAAGCAACTTTCTTGGATCAACCGTTTTGAATCAGCCCAGTTGAAAGCTTCTTCTTCGTGTGCTCTTTACAAGTCCTTTGCTGATTTTTATCTACATAATATATATTTACACTGGGATGTATTTTATTTTCAATGGTAGTTTTTAGTTTTTCTTTCTTTCACTCCCTTGTGATCCTTTGAGCACTGGTCATTTTTTATTCTCAATAAAAAAAAAAAAATTGTTTCTCATTCAAAAAAATATGTCAGACATTTTTGACAAATACTAATCATCTAGGAGTTGGGACATTCCAGGTCGACGGTACCTGAAACTTTTGAATTTGATAGACATGTCGTTAGAAATATCATTAGGATCAATATTGGACATACCATCAGGATAATGGGGACATTCGATCACTAGACAACCAGTTGCCTAAGGAGCTGGTTATAAATAGGGTGGGATAGGGGGAGTTGGTAGACGATTTTATGGAAATGGAATGTAGGATAGTCGAGGCCTTCCAGAGTGCTTGGGATATATTTATTTTACTATGATATGAATTTGTAATTGCTATAATGAAATGATACTAAAATGATGAGGATATTGTAACGTGGGAGTGGATAGTTAAACCATCTCAAAAGAGAGAGAAGATTCCTTAACCACCGAACTGCGCGCATGTTGGCTATATTATTACTAGGTTCTATTAATTTCAATTTCGACTAATAGTTTCCTATAGCAAGTTCAAAAGTTCCAATCATCGCAGTTAATACTTGGAAACCAGATAGTGTTAGAAAAAAATGTTTGTCCTTTGGCTCCCTTGGTTAAGCAAGTTTCCATTCAGAATTGTAGTAGACAAAAATTATCTTCAGAGATCCTAGTTTTGTATTCACTTAAGGAGTCACTCATTCGTCAAAGGACCTTATACTTTTCATTCTTTTTCATACTATGTTGATGATTTTGGTGATGCTTTGAAGTTAGTTTGAGCGGTGTGAAATATGACCTACAGCCATTAATGTTGGTAACGATGAATTATTGTATTTAGGAAAGGGAGAGATCAGAAGTAAGATAAAGAAAAAACCTGATTCATTGATGACGCAAATCGAATGGTGAAATCATCGTGCTCTGCACGGATTGCTCCAATGTGGTTGATGATAAGGTAATGTCTCTGATATGTAGATTGTTGTCAAGGCTTTTACTAAAATGTGTACTGAAATCTCAAGCACATGATTGGGGAGATACAAATGAAATACCAGTAACACAACAACACATGATGTAATGTGATTCTAAAATGAAAGGTGCCAAATTATTTTAATCATTTTATCACATTGTAAAAAATGAGTATGCATATTTTTTATGTATAGATTTTATGTACTACAGGATTTTGATAAAGTTTTAAGATACTTTTCTTTAAACCAAAGTTTCAGATTTTTCATGCACAGTAGAGAGAGTAAACACTAAGTGCAAAAAAAACAACAGGATATTCTTGTGCTTCACGTGGTGGAAGCTCATGTGGCGCTGGAAGAGTAAGAAGACGAGCTTGAGCAGCAAATTTTTGGAAGTATATCGACAACTCTTTCAAGATTGCTGCAGGAGAAAGATGAAGATCTGGAAATGCTGGAATCACAGGATCATTCTGGAAAGATATAAAAAAGATATGAAGGCCAAGATCTAATCTGTCTTCTAAGTAATAAAAAATCAGTGGTTTGGTTATCATTCTAAAGCCTGCAATACCTTAAAGATGTTAATGAGTCTGTTGATCTTCACCCTCTTATAAAGTGATTCGCTGTCCTTCTCTGATGATGTTGCTAATACGACAAGAACAGGCAGAATACGTAAAAGCACATGCCTCTCTGGATATAGAAGTGCAAAATCCAACTCCAAGGACTCCACAGCAAAGACAATGAGGATCTGAAGAATGTCTTCTACACTATTTCACGTCAAGGAAGTCTAAAAAGATGAAAGGTTTCTTTTCTTTCTTTTCTTTTTTTTTTTTTTTTTTTGGTACCAACATAACTTTTGTAGAACTTCAAGACAAATNTTTTTTTTTTTTTTTTTTTTTTTTTTTTTTTTTTTTTTGGTACCAACATAACTTTTGTAGAACTTCAAGACAAATCAAGTAATATAATTTAGAGTCCCTGAATTCAATCCTCTTCATTTGGAAGACGTCTAAAAGTAAGGATACTTGTTTACACGAAACATCTCAACATGCAGATTCAATAAAATGGCCCATCGTGTGCTTAAGAAAATCTGTTGCGAAATAGATAGCAAAAAATAGAAGGAAAGAGAAAACAAAGAAAGTTAAAAGGATAAATGATATTACAGTGCCAAGCCAACAAAGCATTATTTCATAATTAACTACCCTCCATTCGGAATCAAGAAAATTCAAGAAATTATTTTTTAAATCATGTAACTTGAAATCCAAGAAATGATTTTTAAATATATATATATATATATATATATATATATATATATATCTTGTTTGGAACAAAAAATACTAGAAATGAATATAATTTTTTTTTTTTTTGGATGTTTCCAAGCAAGGAAAAGAAAGTGAAAAAGTTTACTTATAGGCTTTTAATCTTGATTTATTAATAAGGGATTAAAATATGATAAGGCTAAATAAGTAATTTAACTCAAAATAATATGAACTTTTGCAAAATACTATCATTTGAAATCAGTTAAGGCTAAATAAGTAATTTAACTTAAAATTTCAAATCCTACTATTTTATGGGATAACAAAAAAATAATAATAATTCATTTGAAATCAGTTAGGATTTGAAACCACTTGAAATCCTAAGCAACCAAATAGACTATATATGGCTCATATCCTGACTCTACAGCCCTTGATCACATATACAACATAACATTTTAGGGGTAGTACCAAAAACCTGTAAGTCATCTAATTCTTCTCTCATTGAATCAGAATCTTGCCACTGAATACTGACTTGTGTGAAGGTCCTGGAGAAAGGGAAAAAAAAAAAAATATATATATATATATACTTTTTATAACTAGCCAGAAACTTCTATCAATACCAGACCTTTCATATTATTTACATTCACATGCATAAACAGATAATAAAATAATTCCACAATAAAATTAAAGTCAATAATTTGGAAATTATGTAACACTTGAAAGATATTTGGCCAACATAAAACTCTCGCAGTTGATTGGTGAAGTAGTAGGATTAGGCAAAATTGGGGGAAATTCATATTAATCTTGGTTTAATCCTTGAATAATCTTCTTTAGTTTCCTATTTGGATTTTAGTTTTCCTATTTAATTTCCTTTCTGTACTTCAAATCCTATTATTTTCCTAGAGAATTGCCCTCATGTATCCAATAACTTTTAATGAATAATAAAGACTTCGATTTGATTCTTGGAGAATTTTCTCCTTTAATCCATTAGGCTACACCAACTGGCCTCTCCAAGAATAAGAATGGGAAGCCAAACTTTGCAGATGTGATTTTCACACATTCAAATTTCTTTTCTCTAAATAAGATATGAACTTCTCGTTGATATAATAAATATTTTCAAAGGAAACAAAGAAGAGTGAGAGAAAGGAAACAACTTATGGAGCATTTCAACCTTGAGGTAAGAACAAATACTCTTTTTCTCTTTTTCGTTGACCATATCCTAATGTGAAACTAGTTTCATTTCAATTGATCTAGGTTTGGTTTGCATAAAACCAAACAAGGGACCAAACGTCACTATAACTCCTTTCTTTCTTTTTTTTTTTTTTTTTTTTTTTTTCTTTTTCAAAAAAAATAGGAATCACTCGGATAAAGGTTCCATTGTTTCTCCCTCTCAAAAGATCCCACACTAAAGCACAAACCCCTGGTAACCACAAGAACCTCTCCTCCCTATGCGGCAAATGAAGAAAGAACTCCTCAATCATCTCCCTTTAATTTTTGTGTCTGGCTAGCTAGAACCCAAACACGTAAAAGAATAACTCCAAACAGACAGACTAAAGGACAACCCAAACGTTTCATATGGAAACCAATCCCAGTATCTCTCTTTTCAAATAACTTTATTTTTTACTGGCCTCTGATGTAGAAGAGTTCGACCCAAAAAGGAGAAAAAACATATATATATATATATATATATATATATATATAATGTCGTTCTTTACAGTAAACAATGCATACATATGTTAGCCTACAGTCGGGGAGGTCTCTTTTTTTCTCTATTTTGTTTGTATGTAACTTTTCCAACTTTTTATATCTTAATGAAAATTTTCAGTTTCTTTACAAAGAACAAATAGAAAGAACTAGACAAACAGCTTGCGAAAGAGGAGTAAATTGTGGATGAACTCAAACATAATCAAAATTTCTCTTTCACATCCACTAAATCATAAATCATAAAGACAAAAAAAGATGTTCACCTACCTTTTATACCAAGAGAAGTCGTTGGGTATGCTTGCCTTAGCATTTTTAAGATGATCAAGTTGAACTAAAACATCAAGCAATTTCAGCATTGACCTAGGGTGTAAAAAGTTTAATTAGAAATATTCAAATTGACGTAAAACTAAAATTTCCCAACGTTGGGGGATAACTGATAGTCTAATTGTATGCTAGAGAAGCATGAGTTCAAACTTCCTTGATGGTAAATTGCTAAAATTAACACCGAAATATGATCTACCACATATCATAACAGACCAGAGATGAGTAACTGATGGGCCATTAATGCGCCTCTCAGGCCTCGAGAAACGTTGCATATCAGCAGCAAGCTGCATAAAAGACAACCTACATAAATCAATAATTTAGATTAACAATAATGGAACAATTCACTAAAAGCAATACCTTCGATGCAGCTGATGCTTGCCACCTCTGAATCTCACGTAGACGACTCATTTCCAAGTCCAAAACTTGATACGTTTCCAAATATAGGTCAGCTTGACTTTGCTTCATAGACTCAGGTAACTGTCAAAGTTTTATAAACCAATAAGCTTAGTTTTGGGAGAAATTAATTTCTTATTCAACATAGGAAACAAATACAAGAAAATTTAGCATGACAAGAATTTAAGAAAAAGAAATATAACTATAATTTAGGAAAAAGGTACGATTAACCAAATAAAAAAATTATACCCTCTCAAGTGGAATTGTATATATTATACAAGTCAGGCTTGAAGTTAGTTCATCAAAGCTTGTCCTTGGTATTGTTTTGATGGTGAGATGACACGTAGTTCAATTTCACTATGTTTTTTTTTTAACAATGAACAACACTTTTATTGATGTGTACAGAAAGAAAAAGGTTCAAGGTTAGAAGGTTTAAATGGAGACAAAAAAATGTTCTCATATTTGCAGCTTTTCCCTGAAAAACTAAAGCCATGAATAGAGACTTTCTAATGCTGCACTTCCTGCTACATATATGGAAACCAAGGACTACTTCTACGATCCAAATACTTGCACCAATTAGTGTAGTTCTTGACACAATTCTTCATTACAACAGACACAACAAAATCGATCAGCTTGAGCTGTTAATTAGAGAAAAAAAATACAAGCTAATCTTCCATTACTTAGAAACAAAGAACCGGTCAAATAATGAGTGAGAAGTTTCATCCCACGTCCTTGACCATGTGAACAGAGCATTTGACAGAGGTAGTTCCAGCATACCAAGATCTTCAATAAGTTTATTAAACTTTCTCCCGCCCTTCATTTGCCTTCCAATTGGGGATCTCTCATGAATGCAGTAAGTGATATTAAAATCTCTACCAAAAAGTTATTTAGTTGGCAGGTTCTACACAGATGAGTTAACATTTTGGATTGGCTTTCAAGGAAGTTTCCCTTGTTTGCTGGCTTGTTTGGTTGCATTCTCCATCTGAACGCAAAGGAAGACCTGGATCATATTCTTTAGAGATGCGAGTTTGTGAAATTTATTTTGAGTTATTTAATACAGACATTCAAGTTCTTGCTAGCCCGCCATAGGAATACCAGTGATATAATCAAGACGATCCTCCTCCATCCGCCTTTTCATGAAAATGACCAATTTTTACAGCTTCCCAAGGTATGGGTTATAGTATGGGATCTTTAGAGGTTTGGAGAGGGAACCTTTGGATGTTTAATTCCTCATTAAATTTCATATTTCTCTTTGGGCTTCGACTTCGAAGAGCTTTTGCAATTATTCTATAGGCTCTGTTTTGCACAATGGGAGTCCTTTCCTATAAGGGGCTTCCATTTTAGGGGTTTGTATTTTTTTTTTTTTTTTTTTTTTTTTTTTCCTTTTGTATGCCCTTGTATTCTTTCATTCATTATCAATGAAAGTTGTTGTTTCATCTAAAAAACAAAAGTATGATTGACATCAAAAGTTGTTGCACCATGTCAAAAAGAAGAAAAAAATTATTGCCACCTTGCCTAGAGTTTTTCCGCAATTACAAATTACCAATGCATTACAAATATTAACTTGACACATTTGGACCTGTGAGCTCAACACATCGTCACATAATATGATCCAATTTTTATTTCATGATGCTTACAAACAAAACTGTTGTCTATCAAGAAAATCACATTCATGAATGGTAGAAATAAATATTACATGTGCAACTCTTAATATTAAATACTTTCATACAGCATTTTAACCTGTGGAAGTGCTTTAACACAGCTTCTATATGTATAAAGCACCGATGCCATCTCCTTCCCCTCATGGATAAGTGCATTCTGCAAATGAGTAATATCAGCAAACAGCGAGATTGAAAACATATTAACATTACAGAGAAATTGCAGCAAAAAAGTGAACTTAAATGGTTTAAGACGAATTATCGACAAGAAATTACTCATTCCAATGTAAAGATTGCTCCAATATTATAGATTGTTCCAATATTATAGAAACTGGGTTTCAATAAAATTATAGAAATGTTTTTCCCTTGACCATTTCTCGATTTTCGAACGCATATCACTGATGAGTCTCCATTTTGCATCCCAGAACTTACAGTCTATGAACTTTTTCACTTTCGACAAAGCCTTATCTGTCATATACGGATTAACTGTAAAGGAGACTTGAAAATGTTCTAATAAATTTTTAATGTCGTTCCAACTATTGTGAGCAAACGACCAGGAAACCACAAATAAACTGCTAAAATTTGTAAAAACTTCTTGTTCCTCTCTTACCCAGACTCTAGGAGCTTTAGGATTAGACATAGAACTCTCTCCATTCTGATTGTCAATCATTAAATTACTGAAGTTAATTTAAAAAGGTTCATGATAAGAAAAACCTAGCCAATCAGATCAAGAAAATCTAAATGATATAAAACTCCGGGGAATTCGATCTAACAACCTTATTAAAAAAAAAACCTTTAGATCTAAAATATCCAAGAACCTAAAATGATAAGAAATCAACCCAAGAAATAGTAAGCATTGAAAAAAAGACTCGAATGGTACGACCCCTCTGTCGCCCCAGAATGAAAGGGGTGATCTCGTAGTTCTTGGTTGGTGAAGATACGTTGTCAAGTGCCCTGTTTTATTTTTCCATTAAGGCCGAACCTAAACCTCTGCTTGAGAGATAGCTGTCCATATATTGATAAGGGATGTATGAATTCTCGAGAAGAGAGGAGTCAAGGTGGCCCCCCGGATTTGGATTGCTTTATTGATCAAATAATTCAAGACAATAAAACTTGTTTGAGATTTGAATCACTCCACAAGCAAGATTGATCAAATTAAGCTTAAATAATTCTAAGCATGCAACCTAAGCTATATAGAATTGCAAAGAAACGTCGCTTTAAGCTAAAAGAAAGCACAAATGCTCTTTTTACCACATTTTTCAAGTCTCTCTTTATAAAGACAACATTTGTAGCTTTATATAGCCTCAAAATGATATCATTGACCTTTATATGAGGTATTTCAAGAGTTGTATCCTTCGTACTTTACGACCATAATTAGCCATTATGAAAATGTAACATAAAAAGTAAATAAAAAATCTTAAAACTAAAAATATACTAATGAAACACCATAAATATGAAAATAGTAGGTTTCAATCCGCCATCCAAGAATTTGTAACCATCCAAGAATGATGAAACCTCACTTGAAGTAGCTTGAATCCATTGTTGCATAAATGAAGCTTGATTCTTCTTTAATGTGGCATTAATTGCAACTTGAGTCCAACTTTAATAAAATTTGACTTCACTTAATGTGATTAGAGTTTATCGTGTGGTAATTTGAACAACATTTTTCAACCAATGCAAAGAATTCTGAACAAGGGAGATAAGAAGATTATTCTCACAACAACTTTGCACTTTCATAGCTAAAAACTTATTTGAATGAACTAATATGACGAAGCCACTAAGCTTGAAACCAAACTGCGATGAGGAAGCTAGAGGTTGGAGGTGGTGGAGGAAGAGGTAAAAGAACGGGATGAGAGAGGAAAGAACATTTGGGGGTTGGAAAACACATTGCCACGTTTCTTTATGAATGAAAAGTTAGTTAATGTTCACAGATAAAAGAATAGAATTAAATATTTGACATGAAAAGTAAAACAGCATACCAACTGATTGAGAGCTTTGGTGTCTTCTGCTAGAGATAAACGATATGCGGAAACATCACTGTACTCTGCAACAGAAATTCTATATCAGTTACGTAATAATGAATCATCTTATATTGAAGGATGCCGTTATACAGAAAAACAAAATATATTATAACAAAATGAATATTAGAACATAAGGAGGATGAGAGATCTTCAAACTATAAACTCAAATAAAAAAATTACAAGAATCGAAAATAACTAAGTGTCAGTCGTGGATCATTACACGTAGCAATAATACTAAATTTAACACTAATTATCTGAGAACATCAACTACAAGCTAGAGTATTTTACTCCTTGACCCCTTTCCCCTCTTATAACAAAATGAATATTAGAACATAAGGAGGATGAGAGATCTTCAAACTATAAACTCAAATAAAAAAATTACAAGAATCGAAAATAACTAAGTGTCAGTCGTGGATCATTACACGTAGCAATAATACTAAATTTAACACTAATTATCTGAGAACATCAACTACAAGCTAGAGAATTTTACTGATATAAAATACTTGGAAAAAGACAGGCGCACCACGTTCAGCAACAATTTAAACAATTGAAAGACAGATATAAAATAAAAGATATATAGTTAAATGCTTCAGCTGAATTCTACTACCACCTCCTTGAATTTATGGAATCATAACAGGAACTCAATATACTGCTTCATTTAAAACTTCAATCAGAAAAGATTCGAGGATAAAGCACTTTCATTTGGTCTTATAACATTTGACCTTTTTTAAAAAAAAAACAAGAAACAAAGTTTTTCATTGATATAATGAAAAGAGGCTAATGCTCTATAGATACAAAAGAAAGCAATAAAACAGTAAAGTAAAATAACGGAATTACAAGGGAAAATAAATGCTTGCTAATTTAAACAGAAATCTTGAATAAAGTATCCAGCAAAAGGACTAATGGAATTAGGGAAAAATGAGATTTGACGTATTGTAACTGAATTGTTACCAAAGTATATAAGGTTTGACTTTGAGTCCACCTAACCACTGTCAAACATCCTTTTTTAACAAAAGATAATGCCATTGATTAAAGTCAAAGCCACCCTTTTGTTTTTTTCCTGTATGCATCGAGATTATGGAACCAAATGCTTTCAGCTTTTGATTGGTTGATGGTTCTACCACATGAACCATATTTTCTCCTCACCCTTGTGTTATTGGGTCGTCACTTAAGCAAGGAAAAGAAGTTGTTGTGGATACACTTTGTTAGGACTTTCTTTTAGATTGCTTGGCAAGAAAGGAATAAAAGAACTTACAAAGATAATGAACTTACTTTCGAAAGGTTTTTTTTGTACAAACAATCTTCTAAGATAAAGAAGTTGTGCTACAGCACAACAGCAACCTTCAGACACGTCCAATATCAGAATATTCTAAGACATCCAATACAGGACTAAGTGATGAGTTTTGTATTCTCCATCGTAAAAGGTAAGCGCACGTGTACTTAGCCTATTTCTTCGCTATCCCTATTTATCTCATCTTGGACGGAGTTGTGAGTACCATGGGTATTCTTTCAATACTGAGTACAAAACACATGGTATACAAGTCTATTTTTTACTAAATTCCTTGATTTTAACAAGGGTTTCCTAGGCACGCTTAAGCCCAGAATGCAGCCTCTGCACATTGCTTCATGAAGAAGGCTCCCTTAATGAAAGCCCAATTGAGGTGCGTGCCTCAATGCTTGTGGTGTGCACCTCAACACCTTAAGCCTCATTTCCTATTTTCATTTTTTAACTTTTTCAATTTGAAGGAAGAAATGCATGAATATTCTTACAATCTCAATTAAAAGCTCTATTTTGTTAACTTTGCATCATCTTAATATTCATCATACTATTTGTCTCCATGTATTAAAATTAACTTATATTTTTCTATTGTGCACCTCACAAAACAAAGTTGTGCCTTGTTCTTAAGCTTCAAAAGGCTACTTCAGTGCTCCTCAAGCTTTAGAAAACACAAGAGCTCCCAGAGGTGGGAAGAATAGAAATCACCGAATGATATTTCATAGTAGACAAGTTGTATAATCAAGGAAACAGCAGGGTCTATCCCCCAACAACTTATGCTCCCAAAAGAATATCCATCCCATAGCCCACTGTGCCATGAACAGGGTGAGGGAAGAAAGGAAGCCGATTAGAGATGGCTTTCTAGCGATTTTAGATAGTACCTCTCAAGACCTCGCCGAATAACCAATTAAAAGGATGGGTGCACACATACCATAACCGAATGTCATAAGATACCAAACTCTGAGGAAAGTGCCACAACCACTTAGCCAACAAAGTCTCATTCCACGCCTTTAGATTCTCAATACCTCTTAAATCTACCGATTTGGCCTATATATATGTGAATATTGGAGCTTATTAATCTTTTGTCCTTTATTGTAATTTTATTATTCTTAGTTAAGGTTTCCACGTTTGCCTACTAGGAAGCACAGACATATTTTGTACAAAATGTTTGTGTTAGATGTCACAGTAATGCTTGTTCAAAGGCGCATTGCCTGTGGCCGCATGACGGATGTCCGGATCATACTTGTCCAAGACATGTTGTCCATGGCCGCACACCCGTTCCAAACCTCTTTTTACTTGTTTTCATATTAGATAGCCATTTACTATGACCATTCACCAAAACCATGGCTATATCCATCAGGGTTAAAATGCCCCAAAATGTACTATATGGGGATATGACTAGTTGTCACTTCTTCCTACCCAAGTTATATGCTATCAAAGCCGTTGTTATTGCCTATTCTCTTTTAGCTTATAACATTGTTTTCTTTCAAATTGTTTTCAACGTATTTCCTCGCTCACGTTTTCTAAAACATTTCTCGCGAATATGACTCGAGGCTCGAGCATACACCGACATTGTCCTCAAAGTCTGAACTTCTCACGGCTGACTTGTTCGCTAGATTAGAACAAGTGTCACACAATCGCTGTCCCGTTGCCGCAAGAGTGCGATTTAGACATTAGACATGTGTCCAACACTAATACGTCTGCACACACTCCAAATAGTGTCAGACACATTAAAATTTGTGTCCTTTTTTTATAATTACAAATATGTGATGGACATGACACGCCTAGGACAAAACACAAAAAAATCCAAATCTTTATGATCAGAAGTGACGTTGGAGAGTGGCGATCGGCGACGACATTGGTCAAAAACGGCAGTGTTGGTCAGAAGCATGGTGGCTGCAAAGATGCGGTGAAGGGAGGAAGATCAAACGAACGACTAGAGAGGGAGGAAAGCATGATAGGGGTGAAGGGAAGAGACTTTGAAGGGGAATGGAAAGAAGCCTGGGAGAGGGGGAAGGGAAACATATTTTAGTGGTTCTTTCTCTTAAATGGGCTAATTTTAATGTCGTTTTTAATATTGAGCTTGATTTCGTGGGCAATAACTTATTGGGTTTTATGCACCATTTAAATTTTAAACTACATTTACTTGTCATTTAAATCTTCATTCACAATTTTTTATTGTAACGATTTTTAATAATTAAAAAAATAAAATATTTTAGGTTTGATCTTTTAATAACTGAGTTAGGGATAGAAGTAGAATCAAGTGATGTAATAGAAGAATTCGGGCGATGACAATTGGTTATAAGAACAAATGAAGAAGTAGGCTAAGTACACGTGTTTAAACTTCACAACAGGCAATGGGAAGCTCAATGTCGAAGAAACTACTGGCATAGGACACGTGCCTGAAGGTTGTTGTGGTGGCCGCCTAGAATACACTTGAGTAATGGGTGGGCAAGGAGGAATAGAAATTAAAGAACATGGAGTAGGGGAAGAGGCTAGAGAGATAATCTAATTGACATCCTCCCCTTAAAACTGGCTCAATAGTGATGGAGTAAAAAGACATCTTCAAAAAATGTAACACCAGGAGAAATCATTGCTAAGACTAGGATAATAACAACGATATCCTTTTTTAACATGAGAACAGCTAAGGTATATGCATTTCAAGGATTTGGGGTCTAACTTGGTTCGATGAGAGAAACATCTCGAGCCAAACAAGTGCAACCAAATAGTTTTTGTGCAACCAGGAACAAAGATTTTGTTGGAAAAAGAACACAACAAGGTATCTCACCAATTAAAAAAGATAAAGGCGTTCTATAATCAAGAAGCAAGTTATGGAAATTGTGTTGGCCCAAAAATGCTTTGTAACATGCATTTGAAAGGATAATCAAGTACGTGCCTATTTTTTCATTCAGCAGCTTCATTTTGGGATGGAGTATCAATAGATGAAGATTAATGAATAACACCATTTTTACATAAGATCAAGCATATGAGAAAAATAGTCACCAACATTATCAGTGCGCAAAGTTTAAAGAGAGACATTAAACTAAGCTTCAATTTCAGCATGGAAAGCACAAAAGTAAGAAAGTAACTCAAAACTATTTTTTTTATTAAATATAACCAAGTCAAACGAGAATAATTGTCAATCAATGTAACAAAATATCAAAATCCTATTTGAAACACGATTGGACATGAACCCCAAATGTCTAGGATTGGAACTAAGACGATGAAATTTGGCAAATTGATACAAATCACATGGGGATGCAACTCCATAGCAGATCACAACTTTTGATATTTGGTGATAGAAAATGTAAAGACCCCCGATTTATATTCTTTACCAATAATCTTCTTCGTCATACGATTTTGAGACAAGCAATAGCAAGGAAAAAAAAGAAAACAAAATAGTTGTAACAAGTGAGTTTACTAACAAAAATCAAGTTAGAAGAAAGTTGAAGCAAAGGTAAAAGAGAAGACAAAGAGAGATGGTGTTAATTTATGGGTGATAGATCCAAGACAGAAGATGTTGATATGCCTGCCAAAGCGAAAACTACCTTGTTATATGGGTTGCAGCACAAAGTCTATGATCCATTTGGAAGAGGATGTAGGTATGGTATCTAGTGTCATGGTCATGCTTGTCCAGAACCTATTGCCCATGGCCGCATGCCCACTCGCCAAACCTCTTTTACTTGCTTTTATATTGTATTACTTTCTTAATTCATTTCTAATGTATGACTATTCGACGAAATCATG